ATTACATATTCAGCAGTTGTTAATCCAAAAATACGGCTAAGTTGTATTTTCTGTAATCTTCATAGAACAATGTTATTTTGGTTCCTGTGACTTAGAAGCTATGAAATTTTATGGTGTTGAGCTAGTAAACCAAGAAATGTTAATTAAGGGAAATACAGCAGTAAAACCTCATGAAATATATCACTGAGGGTAAAAGCAGTATTTGGAAATATCATCTTCCTGAAATGGAAGAGGGATTGGAAAGAGAAAAAGAGACAGTCATAGACTTTAAAAAATAGCATGGATTGTGAACACTTGGTAAGAAATCTTAGGTGTTATAACCTGTAGAGTTAATGGAGGCTTCTAACATAGTCTCTGTGGAACTCTGAGACAGTAGGAGAAGAGGGGTCTCATAAGGAGGGATTGTTTGATTTATGCATGTCAGTCAGGATTCTGTTGAAAAATTCATCACACTTTACTATCTTAAAATTAGTTAATACGAACTCTGCATCTAAATGCCACTGTTACCTTTAAAAAGTAAAATGAGGAGAGAAATTATTTTTTTCCTGCACAGTGACTATATTTGGGTATCTACTTACCACAATAGGACATGTAAAACCCACATCTGTCTTTATGTTATGTAATATAATAAGTTCCTTCCCAGAGGACCAGATAGCTTGCTTTCCAATGTGAAAGATTTATCTGGTGTTTTGTTTTTGCTGTTTTAGAATGCCCAAAACTATGTCATTTCCCTTTCCTTAAAAGTATTACAGAATACAGCTGCTAGTTTTTGTTTCTTCCTGGGCTTTTGGTATAATTGTTCCTTTCTTTGTTAAGTAGGAGGTAAAAGGGGAGAAGAAATGCAAAAGATGGGCATTTCTTTGCCTTTTTTGATTTTCATTTGAGCAGTGTCAGCAAGAGTGATGTACTCATCTAAGTAATTAATTTTTCATAATGCGTTTCTCTGATTGTAAATTGAATGTAAGAATATCACAGCTTTTTGCACATATTGACAGGGGAAGTTTAGGTTGAATATTAGGAAAAAAACTTTTACAGAGTAATCAGACATTGGAATGGATTGCGCAGGGAAGTGGTGGATTCTCTGTCCCTGGAGGTTTTTAAGAAGAGACTAGATGTGGCTCTTGGTGCCATGGTTTAGTAACCACTGTGGTGTTGGATCAAGTGTTGGACTTGATGATCTCAGAGGTCTTTTCCAACCCAGTTGATTCTATGATTTCATGAAGGATATAGCATTGGCAATAAATAATAAACACAGGCAACATCAAGTGTAAGATTTTCCTGACTGATTATTTATATATAATAATGACATTTTTTTGAAGCTGTTCAGATTTTGATAATCAAAGAATTTGTTCTGGTAGGGAGGAGGTTTAGAGGGCAGAGTGCAGAGGGAGAAGTCAGAAAGTATATGAGCAGTGCAATTTCTTACAAGTTCCATAACTATTTGTCACTCTGTCATGGTGGAACTGCAAAGGGTCCCCAAGGGATGTGACAAAATATGTGTTGAACTGTGCTGAATGAGCATTTGCAAAACTCAGTCATTCAAATGGATTCAAATATGGGTCAATTTGATTATGAAGACGAGGGACACTGAGATTCAAGAGAAGTCCCCAGTATGAAGGATGCATGTCCTCATGATGATGAAGCATACATATCTTGCATCACTGTGTTTGTATTGGTTTCTTGGGAATTCACTATAATCTTTCTGTCACACTACTCTGCTGTAATGATTTGCAACAATGCTGGCGAAACTTTCCCACCTCATCTTATTTAATTATTTCTTTTAATTTTAACTCAGTCTCACAGTCTCTTGAGATACACAACTCATTTTCATGGAGGTTCCCAGGAGACAGCAATAACACATGCAGTTGCATGCATCTTTAAAACAAAAATCATAAATCAAGACACTTAATCTGAAGCTGCAGACAAGTGAATCTGAAGACAAGTGAGCAGGCAGCATCTCAGTATATTAGCTTAAGGCAACAATTCAAGGGATTTCAAAAAGTTTAGGGTTTTTTGGTTTGGTTTGGTTTGGTTTTGGTTTGTGGGGTTTTTTTCTCTTGGTCACAGTTCAAGTTTCTTTGTTCATTGCTTTATTGCCTCTTCTGTGTTAACTATTTGAGGTATTTAAATCTGAACCTCCCCATGCAGGCCACTCTGATCTGACGTTTGCAAGGTAGATTTGAGGTTCTTGTGCTGGAGGGTGGAGGTAAGGGAGGGTGGGGTCAGGTTTTTAATGAATATTTGTGCGAGACCTTCAGTAGGAGAGTGCAAAGTAAAAATGAGGACCTTTGTACTGAGCATTAGTTGGCTTGGTTTTAAAGATGTTTGCCAGAGCTATAACACTTCAAAGAATCTGCACTAAAAATCCCTTCTCTTTTAATAGTTTAATTTGTCTTAGCCTGGAAATGATTGCCCAGGCTTCACATATAATTCAGGAGCAGCTGAGACCTCAACTTCTAAGCATGATTATAACAGCAAGTAGATGTCGACGTAATATTTCTTTCCTATTTTTCAGAATAAAGGATTTTAAGACTTTAATTTTGGGATCAAATATTTAGGAGTTATTCTTTCAATTGAGTTAAGTAAAATAGTAGTTTTAACAAAATATAAATTTAATGCCTCTTAGTTAATGCTAATGCTAAGAAAAATGGATAGTTTTTGAGATGAAGAACCCCTTGATATTTTGCTGCATTTTTTTCCTCTTATTTTGCCTAAGTCATATATGAGCCAAATTGTAGCATAACACATAACACAGCCATCTTGGTTGAGTGTTGTTTGGTTGGTTGGTTGATTGTTTTTGTTTGTTTTTGGTTTGGGTTTTGTTTGCTTGTTCTTGTTGTTGTTGTTTTAGGGTTTTTTTGTTTGCTTGTTTGTTTGTTTTTTCCTATGGATGATTTCTGAGAGGGGGAAGAAGCAAAGTTCTGTATAGTAAATATTGATTTGTTGTTATCTTCTGCACTCATTTATACTTTTTGTAAGGAAAGAATTTTCCATCGCAATCATCTCTGCAGTTTTTATAAAAGAAAGTTTAGCAGTAATGATTTCAAATACATTTTAGATGTACCATTCTGAGAAATCTAAATGCACTTTATATATAATTTTTAACTTATTATGCACTACTTAAAGTCTTATTAATGGCTCCCAGGAATTTCTCAAGATAGAAAAAAAGGGAAGAAAAATAATACTTGAATGGATAAAAGTACAACTATTACATTTTGTGAGGCACTGCTTAATTTTAATGTATATCTGAAGTACAAAAATGATTGATCTATATAAATAACTCATCTGTAAATGTAGAAAACTATAGAACAAAATTGCATTCCTCAAGGCAAAAACTGATTTGTAGCAAGAATCATGAAAGAATGGAGAAAGGCAAGGAAATAAGAAAGAAGAGTATATAGTAAGAAACAAATGTGAGTCCCAGAATGGCTGCATTCTGTCCCTGGTATAACTTGAACTTCATACAAAATTTAAATATATATAAAAAAATCCTATTAAATCACATTTGTGCTTAAAGCAGATAATAATTCCTCATGTGGTATGAATCTGTTCTGAGATGGAATGTGAGGATTTTAAGACAGCAGTGGTTTGGTCTTCATAGGGGTTGAGGGGAGACTACGTTGCTAGGGAAATAAGAAGCAGGGAAATACTTAATGTCTACAAATTTCTTTCCTCAGTTGAAAATGTTGTTCAGAGTTTCTTTCTGAGCTGCCACACAACCACAAGAGACTGGAGTTCTTCCTTTAGTTCAGCTAAATCCACTGTCCTGAACTGAGTATAAGCAGTAGAATGTATGTGCTTTCTGGTTATTTCTAATGTGCAGTGGTCTTGAAGTATTCTTCCATTATTCTGATGAGAAACTGTTCTTAGATAAAAGTTTTAAGTTCTGTTATTAATGTGGACTTGAAAGAAGCATAAGGTCAAAAAACTTGCTGTTAAAAATAAATAAATTTCCTTCCACTGCAATACTTTTCCACCTGATTTCTAATTTCTAGCTCGGTTCTTTAAAAATTATGAATTTATTCTATTGGGTTCCCATGAAACTTAGAAACAAAATTAGTTTCATTGTGTCTCTGTTTACATTGCTTGTAATGGCTTTATGATATCTCAACAAAATCAGTACTGGAAAATTCCAATTTTCTAGGTTTATTTGCACGTTTTCAGACTCCTGGTGGACTGACTGATCTTTGATAACTTCAGGTAACTAAGCAAATGGTTACCTTAAGGTAACAGTTTCTCTAGTTTGAAGAATTATTTTACTCCTTTCAAGGTACTTTGCTTTAAGCGATACATGAACTCTCACATACATATTTACATTTTACCATTGTAGTATAAAACATTACATTTTCCTTTTTGAGGCTGAATGAATATTGCACTGGGAATAATACTGATCGTCTAAATAACAGTACATGAACTTTCTGCCAGTATGACATAATTTTATGAGGGTCTAGTGTGATATTGGTTGAAATCTATGTCAAGCACAAGGTATAAAAAATGCACATTTTGACTGAAAGTTCCTGTCAATATGCTCTAGGATTGACTCAGAATCCTCAAATCCCATTCTGGAGGCCTTCTTTCGAAACCTGTTATAGACTAGGTATTTTTCATCAAGTTGGGTGTCTGTCCAGCATACATAACATCAAAAACCCATGTGAAATGATTTACAAATCACTATCAAATGACATTTAGAAGAGATCTCATTTTACTGCCAGACCATGTCAATGATTTGCATGTAAAGTCCAAAGGAATTGTCCTGAGTCATCCAGATTTTAATGATGTGAGTATTTTCATACCTTGGAGGAGCCATGCTAAGTCTTAGAGGTATTTTAACATAAACAATCAGGAAACACTTTTACAGGAAGAATTGAAAAGAAAATTTAATTCCAATTACAGTCTTTGACTGGCTAGTTAGTACAGCTTTGAGTGTAATCTAAGGTCAGAAACCTGAAAATTACTGGTTTTAGTGATGAGTAAGTGGTTTTCTTTTTTTTTCCTATTAGATAGAAAATGGTCGGCTGTGGAATTCTATTGTGAAGACCTCAGAAGAAATATCAGTTTTTCCAGTCAGCTTTTCATAATGTAAATATAATCTGAGCTTTCCCAAATGGGTAGCTAAACAATGAACAAGAAGAAAACTCCAGTTTGGACTGCATTTCTGAACCAGGCTTCACCTTCTGTCTCGGGAACTTATTAAAGGGTTGCAGCTGAAAAAGACAAGAGAAAGAAAACCTTGAACAGGAAGCCTATCCTACAATGAGAATTACAAGTACATCTTGTATCTGCCCAGTCCTAGTTTGTCTCTGTTTTGTGCAGAGGTGTTATGGAGCTGCTCACCATGGCTCCATCAAGGTGACTAGAAATCAAACCAAACACATAGAAGGTGAAACAGAAGTGCATCATCGTCCCAAGCGTGGATGGGTGTGGAATCAGTTCTTTGTTTTAGAAGAACACATGGGACCAGATCCTCAGTACGTAGGAAAGGTAAGGTCGTCTTCTTTTTGGTTTTGGTTTGTTTTTTCCCATCCCTTGAAATGTGGTATTGGTAGAGAAAAACTCTAGATGGCACCTCTTTTTCTAAAGAAGGACACCTCTTGGATTGGTACATACGTTCACAGTGAACTTGCCAGCTGTCTGTGTATACTGTGTTAATTATAAAGAAAAAAAATGACAAAAGTATATAAGGTGAAAATAATAAAATATGATAAAATAGCTTTTATTCTGAGCTCAGCTAAACACAATGTGAGTGCCACTAATCCTGTTACATCAAGTTCCAGATCCCCCAATGCACGGAGTCATTGTTAAAAGCTTTTCCAGACTATTTTAGAATTATATTCAGTTCTGCTCAAAGGAATATTAAAAATGCAGTCTAGGCTGTTCATTCCACTATGACTCTAGGGTGGAAAAGGTCATCTCTGAAAGGAAATTTTCTGTCACTTTCTTCATAAAGAGGCACAACGTGTGTGTTACTGGTTAGTGTTCCTCAGAAGTCTTTGAGAACAAGCCCTGCATTTATGTTTTGATATATAGAGTGAGCTTCAGACATGACGATCAGGCTGATGCAGTTGAATTGAAGCCTGACCAATTGAAGTCTGGTTGTGCAATGTTGTCTGTATAGCTTGGGTTTTAAATTTGCATTAAAATAACACAAAACTCTCTATATAGCTTTAATGCATGGTGTATGACAAGAAGGAGTTTTTTCTCCCCCTGAATTCTGTCTTGGTAGCATTGTGATAGAATTTTTTTTAATTACATAATCTAGATGAGTCTTAATTTCCTTAATGAAATGGAGAAGGAGATTTAATATGAGGGGTAAAGAAAGATGGACATGGAAAAGAAACTATTTCTTTTTAGTTTACCTTGAAATTGGGAGTCCTGAAAATTACATTGTAGAGTACGAAAAAATATCCAAGGAAACCGGTAGCTTCTGAAATCACAGATGGCTGTTAGTGAGGGCTTTCAAATTTGAACAATATCATCTGAACTAAAAATAGCAAGTGGAACAACTGTGTTTAAGCTACTGTTAACACGAAGACCCCTCAAAAAAATTTATTCTGTTATACTAGCCTTAGTAAAATACAAGTATTTCAACATACCAAAATTTGTTGAGATATGTGTAGGAAATGTAAATTGAAAAAGGACCTTTCTAAATGGTGGTTTGCATTGAAAGAGAAGCTTTTAAAACTGATAAGGGAATGAGGAGTTATCCTTCCAGACCCACCTTAGACTGATTAATATTTTCATAAATGATTTTGTAATAGAAGAAATATTTTGCAAATATCTTGCTGATGTAAAGCTATGCAGGAAAATGAACACATTGTCTGGAGAGAGCTAGATATCTTGAATATAATTTGGATATAAAAATACAGAGTAAAACTCAGGACTACAAGGTTATAAGGCTCTTACAAAACTATATAATGAATTTCTGTTATACACTAGTGGTTTGTTGTAAGTGACAGAGGAAGAGAAAGGTCTGGTTACCAGATCAAACATTGCCTCTAATGTCATACCTGAAAGAAGGTAAGTATGATACTAAGCTGCAAAAACTGATATAATAAAGAAATAGGGATAAAGTAGTATTGGAGACATTGTGGGAAATAATGTTAATCTATTTACTGTACTGGTTACTTTTGGTCAATGAAAATGGCTTTATATATGAAGCTATACAGAGAAAATTGAATACTATGGTTAAAATGGTAGTGGAGAATGTGTTTGTTTAATTATCCCTGCAAATAATAGAGAGGGCACATTATAATACACCTCAGAAGAAACCACAATGAAAAGAGAAAAGCTATTTAAGTTGATTGAAATTTTACTTGAAAAAAAAAATAAGGTTTTGGTGGCCATGAGTTAATACAGAATGGAAACAAGAATAATTCAGGTTCTGAGAGAGTCTATTAATAGGAAGAATTAAAAAAAAAAAAATCAAAGTAAAGTGTGCTTGTCTTTATAAAAGCATTTATAGGCATGATTTCATGCCAGAACAGAAGTCTGGATTCAGTGAGCTAAAACATAGTCCCTTTCAATTTTATGTTCTTATGATAGCATTATGTATTTCATTTCATCCTCTGACCACTCTATTAATGCTACATTTACAGAGATCAATCAATAGTTTCTTTCAGTCCTTTGTGGTCAAAATGTGACTACATGCCTTGTTTGAGGACATTTCTTCTTCTGTACTGAGCGATTTTTCTCCCCTTCTCAAAGAATTCTCTCTGATGCTTACAATTTTCTTCTCTGAGTACTTTCCAGCACTAGTTAGCTTATCTTTGTGAAACCTTTGTGGAACTTAAAAACAACTGTACTCTACTTTCCATTTGTTGTCATGATTCTGATGACCTGATTTACAGCAAAGATCAATTATATTAGCTTAGGCGTATATTTATATTTAAAAAAAAAAAAAAAGAAAAAAGGTGAGTCTGTCATAATATTAGTAATTAGCAAAATTTCTGTAGTGGTCATTATGCATTAACTCCTTTTCATTTTGAAAAATAAGTGTTTTACTAATGTTACAGTTAATTGTACACATCCCATCAAGGTCTCATTCTATGTACCTTTAATTTGACAAGTGATTTTCATGCAAAGTCCCTCCATTTATAAAGGAAGGTAGTGCCCTTTAATTCCAGCTTCTGTTCGATGGCAGCATGCTATCAATTCTGTCAATTACTAATTCTGTAGACTACTCTGCTTCACTGGTGAGAGTTTTGCCGTTTGAGATCTGTCCTTTCACATTTTTCACACCCAATTTGGGAGTAACATCACAGAAAGCAGAGTCATTATGTACAATGCCGTTATAATGATCACAGTCATTGTCATGGAAATGCACACTGAGGACAAGAATAGGGTAGGCCTGCAAGGAAAATGGTAAGGTTTCTTATTCTTACCATGAAATGACTGTCAAGAGGATGGATTAATTCACTGCCATCATCTATTACACAGCAAGTGTTAGAACAACAAATCATCATTATATTTTAATATCAAGCATATAACCATTCCTCAGACATTATTTTTTTTCCCTAAGAAAATGGAGATCGGAAAAATTAATGTAAAATTAATCCCTATTACCTTACTGAGAAAGTTTTTATATATGGCAAAACACAGGTCCTGGAAAAATAAGGTTATTGTAGAAACAAGAAATTATCCCTTTAAAAATGTTAAGTATTTTCTGTGGTTCTGGGCTTATTGAAACAGTTCTCTGCAGCTGCACCTAGGGTAAGGTTTCAGTGTTTCAGGGTATGTATCCCAAAAGAAAAAAACTCCAAAAAATGGGTTTGAATTTAAAAAGGTATCTTGAAAGAATTTAACACCACAGTGTCTTCTTTTTCCAAAACTATGAATTATTTGGGGAGGGTTTCTTTAAACTCCGCAATAATCAGTATCTAGCAATGTTAGTTCACGCAGACTATTCATCTACAAGTGCAAGTATGTGTGTTTCTATGTGTGTGGGTGTGTGCAATACCGAATCTGTGGAAATTTGAATGAGCAAGATTAAATATCCTTGTGAAAATAAGTAACTTGAATGCACAGAACTGAACTTTGAGCTACATGAGACCTCTTGTCTTTTCCATATCTCTGATGTAAATTTTTCTAATGAAAAAATAGTTGTAAATGCAGAAAGAGACAGGGTTAATTAATGCAGCATGGCCTGGTGAGGAATCAGGTACTACTGCACCAGCTCAGAGGAATAAAGATTCCCCTGAAGAAATCTAGAAAAACTTGGGCTGTGGGACTGCAAGCTTTAAAATTTCTCAGTTGTCATGGGTGATATAGTTTACCTTTCTCTTGAAATTTCTGCATGCTTCTAGGTTAAATAACTCATGTCTCAGGGTATGATAAAACTAACAAAGAATTTCAGGAAAGAAGTAAAACACTGCATGTTTCAGACCATAACATTCTTCATTTGGAACCTTCACACCTCTCTCTGCAGAAGGTCTGCTCCTTGAAAGGATATTTCTTAAAGGTCAGCTGCACTGGAAGCAAGTCATAACTACTTGTTTGCTGTGCTTTTTACTTTGGAGAGAGAAGTCAATAAGCAGTGATAAAAGGAAGATCAGTGTGGATTTGAGGCTGAGTGAGTCATGCTATTAAGAGGGAATAGCAGAAAAATATAATGCACAAGACTGACAATTTCTCTGTGGACTCTTTGGATCTCTGAAATTCAAAATGTATACCTCTTAATCTACTTTCAGATGTCTTCTGAAGGGTAAAGAAGAATGATTGTTCAAGTATTCAGATCTGTGTTGGTTTTCAACTGCATTTTTCTTCCAAAATTTTGGAAGTGACACCTTTTTTAGTTCTTACATTTTTATCTGTAATTCAAAAACAGTTTCAGATTTGTACTGATGCAGGAGATAAGGAGGTATGGAACAGTTGGAGATGGGTGTAAATTCAGGAATGGGAATAGGAAAGTAACAGCTTTTAATATGTCTTGAAATGATTTGATGAAAGTTAGATTAGGAAAGTAATTCCAGTTTTTATACTCGATTTACAAGGTAGTAATTCTACTAATTTATGATTTTATTCTTGAAAACATAAATACAGCATAACAGACTTGCCATTCAAATTATTTTTTGAAGTAATATGTGACATGTCATTACAATGTTAGTTCTAATACAGGACAGTGAATCTAATCTTCCCCAATGATATTAAGAGAATTTAACATCTCTGATTTAATGACAGTAAGGGGAAATGATGTATATTTTAGAATAAGTGCCAAGGAAGAAACAAAATGGAGTTTTAGAATTAAAGTGTTTTTATTCAATGATAGAGGTTTACATAAAGCACATCAGATGTTTCAGCATTTTAAACATAAGCAAACAGTTCCATTTTTTTCTGATAAAAAATTTTAAAAAAGAGTTTTATAATAGAGAAAATTAAAAGGCAAATGTAGATAATATAGTCTAAAGATTTTGCACATGATTTGTTTGCCATTTTCATGCCTCTGTAAGAAGATAGTCAAGTGGTATAAGCAGCAAAAGCAACAC